AAATGTTTAAAGAAATGTGTGGCGCAAGCTGCTCTATTCACTGAACGATTCATTTTTCTCACCAATTGACGATCGTTGCCGCAACGTCGCGCAAGGAAGGAATCGTGGAGTCGCCAGGACGTAACAATTATAATCATGTAAAATAGTTATTAAAAAATATTCATTGATTTCAAATGCAGTGATTCAAGAGATGACCATAAAAAAAGTTTAATTCTTTAAAATGTATTTCTCAAATAATTTTTATTGAGCTTCATATTCTATTATGCGAAAGCAGTTTCTGCAGTTTCTGCAAATTACTTTAGAATCACATTTTATTAGAACTAATGTTTATTTGATTTTGTTTTAGATTTTATAATTGTTTTTATTATTATGATTTTATGTTAACTCTTCATGTTATTAGATATTAAATATTTATATTATTCATATTGTAGAATTACTTCATTTATTTAAAAATAAATACAACGTGCATTTCTTTTTCTTATTGTCTCTTTTCTCTTTCTCTCTCTTTTGTCATCCAAATTTATCTCAAGTTTAAATTTCATTTTTTCCTCTTTTGTTTACAATGTTTTTTTTCTTTCAGCCGGAGATGATAAGAAGCGCGGGTTATCCCGCGGAGGCTCATGTTATAATGACGGAGGATGGGTATCTCTTGACGTTACATCGTATTCCAGGTGGCAACAATTCTCTACCTGTGCTGCTGCAACACGGTCTTTTAAGCAACTCCGCTCAATGGATTATTCTTGGCAAAGACAAAGCATTCCGTATGACCAAAATCAATTAGTTTAATCAGTTTTCTCTTAAGACCATACATATATCGCAACACCATATTGTTAATCTTATTTCTATCCTAAAAATACCACAAAAAATAGAAAATTGATATTATATAATACGATATTATATGAACAGATAAATAATGCGATAAATACTGCAAATAATGTTTTTTGGGGGGGGATTTTAGCTTACCTATTAGCGGATCAAGGATACGATGTTTGGTTAGGCAATTTTCGTGGTAATATTTATTCGAAAGCGCATATTTCTTTATCTCCGTCGGACTCGACATTTTGGGATTTCAGGTACTCGCATACATAGTATAAATTCATTGGGAATAACGTAATTGTTATAATTTCTGATTTAATTAGACATAAAACGCACAGGTATTTCATATCAATAAAATACACATTGTTTATTTTAAAGCAATGTATTCGAGATATCTCACATTTTGTTATATTAAGATAAAGCATTTGCTATTTCTTGATTTTTGGTATAAATAATTCTTTACGCAAAATTTTCGTGGTGTTTATACGGAACAATTGTATTATTTTTTATATATTTTACGGTATATCAATCAAATTTTCCATCAGTTTCAACGAAATGGGCATCTACGATTTACCCGCGATGATTAAATTTATTACAAATATGAAATCGCAACCGTTGCATACGTATATCGGTCATTCGATGGGTACAACAACTTTTTACATAATGGCATCAGAGCGTCCAGAAATCGCTCAAATGGTGCAAATGATGATCAGCTTGGCACCAGCGGTCTTCGTAAATCATATGCAAAGTCCGATACAATACTTGGTCCCTTTCAGGAGGGAGCTAAAGGTAAAGTAAAAAATATACTAGAGATACTGTTAGAAGATAATTTATTAACATGTAATAAAATTGTTCAAAATATCTTTTTGTCGAAACAATTAATAAAAGATAATTATCTATATCTCATTTTCACACGATATGTGTAAACATATCAGTGTACTATTTGTTTATATATTATTTTTAATTAATATTCTTAAATGTGACTTTGAAGTAAATATTTTCTTAGTCTAATTCTATTAGTGTAAATAGAAATACGTTTCTCTTAATTTTATCATTTAATATAATAGTAAATATGGCCAAATCTTTTTTGTGATTATAACTTGTGATTATAACTATGCAATTTTACAATTCTAACTTGATAGGCTAATTTATGAGTTTTTAATATGCGAAAGTTTATAAAAATTACATAATCTAATTTAACATAAAAGTTAGATGGTATGGCATATAAGTTTGAAAAGTAACAATAAAAGGGTAATTATGCAGAAATAAGGAGCCATTCCCGATTTCGATAATTTTGAAATATGTTATCAAGGTCATCACTTTGAATAATGTTGTGAAGATTTTAACCGGAGCTCGTTGTTTATTAAAAAATTATTAGCAAAGAAAATATAATGAATAGTATGTAATTCTATGACGATGTATATAGATTATATGTTTCTGTATTACATTGTTCACTGAGAGTAAGTTGTTTTTGTTTATCTTTCTTACTGAGAGCAGTTAGTGGAACAATGATATCCTTGTAAAATTATTATTTTGTTTTTGATATCACATACATGTATACATAAGAATATGTATGTGTATTATAAAGTGAAAACGTAGGCGGAGAATGGGCGAAGTTCTGTAC